ATTCCAACGGACGCTACGAGCAAGAAGGGATGTTGTTATGGGATTTTGAGAACTTGGTTTCAATGATGACTATTGAATGGTTTTGCTAGTATTTAGTGAAGTAATTATGTTCATATTTCATAACGTAGTAAATATGTTCATGTTCTATAATGGAGTAAACATGTTTGTGTTAATAAAGGAAATCAAATTGCTAGCAAAGTTTGTAAAAGTGTGTATATTCTAGTAATTATTACTATGCATTTCATAATTTACTCGAAGAAAAAAACTATATTATTTGACTTGTACAATGAATTTATTATAGTTTAGAAATTAAAATTTTTTTTTTTTAAATTACAGGTTTATTCTTTAAATAGGGTTTTAAAACAAACTGCTTTTCTAGGCGTGCGTTTTCTAGGTTCTCAATGGCCAATGGATATTTAGGAAATACTCAGCTAGAGAAGGGTTTTACAAGCTGCGTGATCAAAGAGTTCTGATGCGTACAATCTTAGAGATCTAGTCGTGCGATCTAAGAGATCTAACCGCATGATCTAAGAGATCTAGCCGTGTGATCTGAGAGATCGGATGCACACTATTTAAGAGCTCTTATGCGTACGATCTTTGGGATCTTACCTCACGATCTGAGAGATCTGAAGCATGCAATGTGAGCTGTCTGACCGCACGATTTGAGAGATCTGGGCACACAATCTGAGAGCTCTGATGAATACGATATGAAAGATCTAACCGCATAATCTGACAGAATTGGCCGCTAGATTAGAGAGCTTTAATGAGCAAGATCCGAGAGATGTGATCTGCTATTTGATCGCGTGATCTAAGAGTTCTGATGCATACAATCTGAAGGATTTGACCACGCAATCTGATAGCTTTGATAAACGTGATTTGAGATCTCTGATGTGCACGATCTAAGAGATTTGACCGCCCAATCTGAGAGATCTTACAACGTGATCGGAGAGATCAGATGAGCGCAATTTAAGAGATTTGTTACGTGCGATATGAGTTATCTGACCGTGCAATCTGAGAGCTCTGACGCGTATGATCTTAGAAATTTGGCCTTGCGATCTAAGAGATCAGACCGCACTATCTCAGAGATCTAGCCGTGCGATATGAGATATCTAGCCGCGCAATCTAAGAGATCTGATGCGCGCGATCTGACCTATCTGATCACGCAATATGTGAACTTTTATGCTTACGATCTCAGAGATCTTACCGCACGATCTGAGATATCTGATGTGCGCAAGCTAAGAGCAATGATGCGTGCGATCTGAGCGGCCTAACCGTGCGATTTGAGAGATTTGGGGCTGCAATCTAATAGTTTTTATAAGTATGATATGAGAGATCTGACCACACAATCTGAGAAAACTAGCTGCGCGATTAGAGAGCCTTGATGCGCGAGATCTAAGAGATATGATGCGCGTGATCTGAGCTATCTCACCGCACGATCTAAGAGATCTAGTCGCGCGATATGAGAGCTCTGATACGCGCGATCTGGGAAATGTGATGTGCACAATCTGAGCGATCTAACTGTGCGATTTAAGGGTTTTGGTAGCACCATCTCAGAGGTTTGATGCGTACGATTTGAGAGATCTGACCACATGATTAAAGAGATCTGATGCACGCGATTTGAGAGATCTGACTGTGAGATTTGAGAGATTTGGCTACGCGATGTCAGAGCTCTAATGTGTACGATCAGAGTGATCTGGCCACGCGATCTGAGAGCTCTGATGCTAGCGGTCTGAACAATCTAACCACGTGATCTAAGAGCTCTTATGCATAAGATCAGAGAGATTTGACCACAAGATCTGAGAAATCTAATACCTGAAATCTAATAGCACTGATGCACGTGATCATAGACTTCTAAAGCACATGATCTGAGCAAGCTGACCGCGCGTTCTGAGAGATCTAGCCGTGCGATATGAATCTTACAGAATAGGCCACCCGAATTGAAAGCTCTGATGCGTTTGAATTGAGAAATCTGATGCATGCAATCTGAGTGATCTGACCGCGCGATCTCAGTGATCTGACCGCGCGATCTGAGAGTTTTGGCCGCACGATCTGAGAGCTCTAGCCATACGATCTGAGAGATCAGGCCACACGATCAGTGAGATTTGGCTAGACGATCTGATCTGAGAGACCTGATGCGTGCTTTAAGAACTCTAATAAGCGCTATCTGAGCTATTTGACCACGCGATATGAGCTACACACTCTGAGAGCTCTTATGCGCACGATCTGATGCAAATGGTCAAAAAGATCTAACAACACGATCTGAGAGATCTAGTCGTGTGATTTGAGAGCTTTGATGTGCCCGATTTGAGCCATTGAACCACTCAATATGAGAGATCTAGACGAATGATCTAAGAGCTCTTTCATGCACGATTTGATGCAAATGATCAGAGAGGTCTAACCGTACGATCAAAGAGATCAGATGTGTGTGATCTGAGAGGTCTGATGTGCGCGATCTGAGAGATCTTTGTGCACGATCTAAGAGATCTAATGCACGCGATCTGAGCAATCTTACCACACGATCATATATATCTTGCCACATGATTTGAGAGCTATGATGCGTACTATCTGAGAGATCTGCCCACACGATCTAAGGGATCTGACCACGCGATGTAGGAGCACTAATGCATGCGATATGAGCATCTGACTGTGCTATCTGAGAGATCTGACTGCACGATCTTAAGATCAAGCCCCACGATTGGAGAGCTCTTATACGTAAAATCTGAGAGATCTTATGCGAGCAATCTGAGAGCTCTGATGAGCGGGACCTGAGAGCTCTATTGGGCGAGTTCTATGAGCTCTTATGCGTAAAATATGAGATATCTGATTGCTTTATCTGAGAGATCTACCTGCGCGATCTGAGAGATTTGATTGCTCTATCTGAGAGATCTAACATGCCCGATCTGAGCTATCTGACGCGCGATCTAGGATATCTAGCCATGCGATCTGAGCAATCTGACCGCGTGATATGAGATGTTTGGTCACGTGATCTTAGAGCTCTGATGAATACGATTTGAGAGATCTGACTACACGATTTGAGAGATTTAATCACGTCATCTTAGTTACTGACAATGGGATCTGAGAGATCTGGCCAGCGATCTGAGAGCTATTATGCGTACGATCTGGGAGACCTAGTCGCACAATCTGACAGATCTAGCCACGAAATTTGAGAGCTCTGATTTGAGCAATCTGAGAGATCTAATGCGCGCTATCGCAGTAGTTTGATTGGCCGCACGATTTGATAGCCTTGATGTGTAGGATATGAGAGATCTGACCGTACGATCTAAGAGAACTGATATGTACGATCTGAGAGATCTGACCGCCTAATCTGAGAGTCCTGATGTGTATGATCGAAGAGATCTGATCGCATGATCTGTGAGATCTGGCCGTGCAATCTGAGAGCTCTGATGCATGTGATTTTAGAGATCAGATGCGCACAATCCGAGAGCTCAAATGCACGCGATTTGTGAGATCTTGCCGTGTGATCTACTAAACCTAGCCGCGCGATCTGAGAGCTCTGATGCATACAATCTGATAAATTTGACCTCGTGTTCTAAGAGATTTGGTTGTGTGATTTAAGAGCTGTGATGCGTACGATATAAGAAATCTGACTGCATGATCAGAAAGCTCTAGTTGTGTGATCAAAGAGCTTTGATGGTCGTGATAAAAAATATTTGGCCGCGCGATCTGATAGCTCTTATGCGGACGATCTAATAGATCTGGTTGTGCAATCTGTGAGCTTTTATGAGTGCGATTAGACAGATCTAAACATGTGATCTAAGAACTCTAATGCAAGCTATCTAAGAGATCTAATGCGCATGATCTGGCGATCTGACCGAATGATTTGGAGATCTTACCGCATGATCTGAGAGATCTGGTGGCGCGGTCTGAGAGCTCTGATGTGTACGATTAGAGAAATCTGACCGCACGATCTAAGAGACCCAATACGCATGATCTAAGACCTTTAATGCGCGCGATCTGAGAGCTCTAATGCATACGATCTAAGAGTATAGGTGGAATAAATGGGTCGGGTTAGGCGGGTCAACCCTAACCCGGCCTGCAATCAGGAGTGTTCAACTTGGACCGCCTATAAAGCGGGTCGAGATGAACCTGACTCGCATGCACCCTGTCGGACGGGCCGGGTCGAACCCGACCCGCATGCACCTCACTGGGCGGGCCGAGTTTTGGTCGGGTTGCTTTTTTTTTTTTTACAAAAAAACACGGCATACCGTCGAGTTGGGAGTTTTCAACCTGACGGGTTGGCTGAAAAAAATTTAAAAAAAAAATAATTTTTTTTTATTTTGCAAATACCCTTTTTACCCTTAAAATATAACCGTTTTATAGCAGTTGGAGGGGTCTTTTTCATCTTTTTCTTTTCCATTTTTTTCCATAAATAGGCCCTAAACTCTTATATTTTCTCACATCCCAAATTCTCTCATTTTCTCTAATCTCTATTAAAATCTCTCAATTATTCTCTTTGTTGTCAACGTAGTTAGTAAATACGGGTACGGCAAAAAAACGGTATGGGAATTTTACGGGTACAATACGGCAAACGGTGAAAAATACGTTTATAAAAATTCGGCCATAAAATTTGGATATGGGAAAAATACGGTACGGGTATATACGGGTTTAATACGGTGCATTGTCAATAATACGTTTTAAAAAATACGGCAATATCAATCTTAGTCTTGACACTTTTATGGACTACCTGGTTAAAATCAATATAACATTTCAAATGCAAAGTATTCAATTAACCAATAACACAAATACACAATATATAAATATAACTGATATTCAAATTATAGTCTCTAGACTCAAACACAATATTTAGCCAAGATTCAACTATAGTGTCAAATCAAACACATAAGTCATAACAAAACCAAAATTCAAAGTCGAATAAGAGCTCCAAACAAATAAAATATACAAATAATACAACCAAGATTCAAATTATAGTTGATAACAAAAACTCACAAAGTACATAAACAACAAGAAGTCAATAACAACTAAAACAGAGCATCGTCCAACCAAGCAATGTCATCATTATTCATTAAGTCATCCATGGAACCCTCAACTGTTGGTGTAAAATTAGCATCTTCATCCATATGAATTTCTTTATATTCATAGTCTAGAAGCTCCCCCAATTTCTCAAGATCTATAGGTTCCAAGTCACGACTCATCGTGGAAGTGAATTTATCCATCATCACATACACAAGTGTGTCTAGCATTTCATGTGACAACCTATTCCCTTTTTTTGTTTGAGCAGCTTCAAAGGCACTCCAATTTCTCTCACATGATGAAGTGCTACAAGGTTGACTCAGAATTCGAATGGCATACTTCTTGAGCACAGGAAGATCATCCCCATTGTAATCCCTCCATATTCTTGCAAACGACATAAAAAGATTTCTTGAATATAAAGAGAGAAGCAATATACATAAAAGATATTGAAATTTTTTAAAACACTTACGAGGATGACTTGTTTGTACAATCGTTTTTGCCGTTGTAGTAAATAAGGTAGCTGGCCTACTACGATACAACTGAACCTCTCTCATAAATGGATGCTTTTCTTCTACTAGAAGCAGGTTTTCATGAATGAAATTGATGCCATCTTTCATCTCCCCATCCTCTCCAAAATTTTGTGAGAAAAAGTAAGCTGGATTGGGAAAGGCAACTGCAGCATGTATAGGATGAATGATGTTGTTGACCCGACAATTCTCAAACAATTCCCAAATTCTCCCATACTTGCTTGCCTCATTATTACATCTTTTTTTGTTTGCAACTTTTGCCCTCATTATTGCTTCATATAAGTAACCAGCAGTAGATCCATCACCATCAACCAAACGAAGAACTCGAATCAATGGCTCAATAGTTTTTATAACCTCCCTTCCTCTAGCCCAAAAATCACTCTGAACAATTTCAGTGACCCTTTTACCTGATTCGGTCTTATAATAATCAAAACCCCTCCATTCAGATGAAGCAACAAAGAGTCGAAGTTCATTCTCCAAATCCAACACAAATTAAAGCATTAAAAAATTTGAAGCAAATCTTGTGGCACAAGGTTGTCTCAATTTTCTATCTTTGGTGAACTCTTTCATTGCTGCATGAAGAACTGTGTACTTTGTCATGAACATAACTATTATTCTTGCTTCATCTGTGGCAACTTTTACCCAATTAACTTCTTCATATATGTCTTTCAAAAGAAGCTGAATTCAATAAGCAGCACACCTCGTCTTATACATTCGAGGATACAATCCAATGAGCATGTCACCAGCAGATGTGAAATTGCTACCATTATGAGTTATGAATTACACAACATGTTCTTGTCCAATTGATTCAATCACAAAAACAACAATTTCTTTTAGATAAATCCCAGTTTTTCTTTCTCGAGAAACATCCAATGATTTTATAAACACTGCACCGCTAGGTAAATATGCCACAAGATTAATGAAAGATCGGTGCCTTATATCAGTCCATATATCAAACATTATATTGCAACCAGATCCAGATGTATCCCAAGAACGCTTCACCATAGCAACATACTCATCAACACCTTTTCTAGATTTTGGAATTAACTTAGTTCGAAGAGTTGAATAAGATGGAAGCTTGTATGCGGCACCATATTCAGCCATTGCCTTAACAAATTCTCCAAAAGCACCAGTTTGAACAACATTAAAAGCGATATTGTTCACCACAAAACACTTAGCAAGCATTTTATGAACAAGCTCCTTGTCTTTTTTCTTCATTTCTAGTAAAGATGCTTGACTTTGACGTCTTTGGCTACCCTTAGAAAGTGGTGAAAATGGTGAATCTGTTTCCTCCTCATGATCATTAGAGTTTAAAGCAGTAGAAGAACTGGCTGAACTTTTTAATTTTTTGCTACTTCCACTTCCAGACATAGCTAAGAATGCACATGCTTGTGTCTCATGATTGACTTTACTACAAATCTCAACATCATGGCTAGTAATTCCCGACAAGTGTGCTTTAATTCTGTAAGCCCCACCACTAAAAACTTTTTGACAAAATTTACATTTCCATTTATTCCCTTGGAGCTCCTCAACATGCTCCCAAATTTTATCTTTTTTTCGTACCACATTGATTTGAGTCTGTATTTACAAGAACTTAAAAGAGAACATCATCAAATACAAAAGGAAAAAAGTTAGCATATAATCTTTTTTCTTTCCTACGCATTATAGCATATAATCTTTTTATTTCCTATGCATTGTATTTAGAATAATCAGCTTTAATTTAGAAATTAGAATCAACTTTCAATATATCATTATTCAGAATAATTCGCAATAAAAGAATATTACATTTTCCACCAAAGTATGATTTGTCACACGTATACATGAATTTAGTTAAGATTATTATCAATTAATCTGCCATGCAATCCTTAGATTTGAGGCCTTGAGTCAAAGAGGAAACTTACAATTATTTGTCAGGTGCAGAGGGAGATCAGTCTTTAATCTATAAGGTTCTGGACGAAAATTAGTGATAAAATAAACTTGAAATCTTCTCGACAGTGTCTGTATCAAAATTTTTAGATTAACAGCAAAATTTTGATTCTTCTATTCTCTCAAAACAAGGCTGCGAAAATGAAATCAGTAAACAATGTGAGACTCAGTGTGTGTATTAAAACTTAAACCACGCACTTTAATAAAGTGAATGAAATATTTTTCTCAAAATTTTATAATTTGTACCATGCAGTGCATCTCACAATTGTAACTTTTTCCTTTTACTCTAAAACCATATCCAATTGAAAAGCCAAAAAGTTACGGAAATTAATGCATTTCATCATGCTAATTGTACATCTAAGCTTTCCATCCGTGTAAGATTTAAAAGATAAAAAAGGACTAATTCTTTGAACAAGAAAAGTATTAAATTGGAAAGGTTGACCTTGTTCATTTATATACACTTTGTATCCTTGCTTATACAGTCAGTTAAAATTTCTATATCATATTTCAGGTTGGGAAACGTCTTCGGCCTCTCACGAAGCATCCTAGGGAGAAGATACAGAATGTGGCTTCTGACTTGCTCTAGATTTGGAAGAAAATAGTCATAGAAGAGACAACCAGAAAAAAGAAAAATGGTAGCACTGAAGTGAAAGTTGAGAAGGTTTAAAAGGCTATAAAGGTTGAAAAGGTTTCAACAAAAGAAACTGTCAAGATTGAGAAAGCTGGCAGTTTTTCAAGGTCAAAAACTGTGCGGGTGGAAAAAGGGGAAGAAATGGCAAGTGATGCAAGGCAACAGGAGATTAACTAAATTAAAGAGAAAGCTCTGTTTGACTGTGAGCGAGGTATTGCACTAAAGGCTACAACTGATCAATTTAAGTGTGGTCGTTGTGGTCAAAGCAAATGCACTTACTATCAAATGCAAACTAGGAGTGCCGATGAACCTATGACAACCTATGTAACATGTGTAAATTGCAACAATCATTGGAAGTTCTGCTAATTAGATTTCCTCTATATCTTCCATTCTTGTTGAGAGGAAAAGTATTATAAACAGCAAACCTCTATTTGATTAGATAATAAGTAATTCATACATATATACAAATATAACTCTCACAAGCATTTCATCAAACATATTTCAAACAAATCCATCAATCCACCAGCCCCTCCTGCTACTACTACTCACAAGTCACACCAACACAAACACAAGCAATCAACCAAGATTCAAAGAGAAGAGAACAAGTGTTAAGTGTGTACCTTAAAGTCCCAAACTTGAAGTTGAAACCTGGAAGAAGAGAACAAGAGATGAAGAAAAGCTGAAAACGTGAAGAACTAAGGAAGAAAAGCTAAAGAAGAACTGAGGAAGAAGAAGAAACAAACTGAAGAAGAACCAAAGAAGAGAGATCTGTTTTAATTTTTAGTAAAAACCCACTAAAACGACGTCGTTTTAGGGGTGAGATTTTGTTTTTTTTTTTTTTTTTTTTTCAATAATTCGCGAATAGTTCGCGAATTATACGGGAAACCTTATTGTACGCGAATTATACGGCAGATTTACAAAATATGTATATGTGCATTTTATATGCGAATTATACGGTTATCCGTACAATTTGCGTATAATACGCGTTTTTACTAACTAGGGTTGTCAATTTGCTCTTATTTTAATTTTTATTAGTTTTTGCAATTTTCAATTCATATTTCCAAATTCCAATTCTACTTCTTTAATTTTTTATTTCTTCTATATCAATTTTTTTTTTTTTAACTACAATGGATAGATATTTCCATCCCATCAATTTCGATGATGAAGGAAAATACTATCCTAATCCCCCTGAATTTACTAACATAAATATAGTAGATTCAAATAGTCCCGCTTTCCCAGTCTCAGAATCTGATACACCTCATAATATTCCCCCGATTCCTCCCAATGCTGCTACAGCTCCCAGTGGTTATAGAAGTCGTCCTCGTAATCATCGTCCTCGTCCAGCTTCATCTCAAGCAGAAGCGGGTTCATCAACTGTTGTCGAAACCGACGACAAGCACACATTAGACGTTTGGGTGCATTTCGATAAGTTTTACGAGACAGAAAATGGAGTTCAAGTGAAGAAAGCAAGATGCAAGTATTGTGGAAATATTTATAAAGCTGATTCAGGTAATGGTACTAGTACTTTAAAAAGGCATGCTAATAAACATATTAATAAACATGGAAATAGAGAAAGTAATCAAACTCAAATAACTAATATGGGTACTACTTGGCGTTATAATTCTGATGTATATAGGGAATAATTAGCTTTATATATTTCTTCAACTGATCAACTTATTAATATGGCTGAAGATAAATATTTTGAAAGATTTATTAAATATTCATTTTTTCCATTATTTAAAAGTTATTCTAAAACTGCAATTAGAAATGATTTAATAAAATTGTTTTGGAAAATGAAATTTTAATTAAAAAATAAAATACATAGTTTTCATGTTAGTGTGGCTCTAACTGCCGATATTTGGAGTGGTAGAGCTAAACAAGATTATATTTGTTTGACTAGTCATTATTTTGATAACGAATGTAAATTAAATAAATCTTTATTAGGATTTAGATTAATGGATGTAGATCATAGTGGTCAACAAATTTATAATAAAATTGTTGAAGTTTTAGAAGATTATGATGTTATTAATAAAGTGATAAGTTTAACTTTAGATAATATAAGTGCTAATAGTACGGCTATAGATTTTTTTAAAATTAATTATCTTTTTTATGACAATTTAAAGTTTTTTCACCAACGCTATGCATGTCACATTATTAATTTAATTGTAAAAAGTGGTATGAAAACAATTAAAGATAATATTGATAGAATTAGGGATTCTTTAGCTTGGATTACTAGTAGTAATAAAAGAAATGCTCAATTTCAAGATGCTTGTATAAAATCAAATATGTCTCCTAAAACTTTTGCATTAGACATGCCTGTTAGATGAAATAGTACTTATTTAATGCTTGATGCATGTTTACCTTACGCAAATTTAATTAGTTATTTTGTAGTAAGTAATAGAAGTCCTCATTATTTGGTATAAAATGATTGGCATATAGCTAAAAAATTTCATTCTTTTCTTAATTTTTTTTTTACCATTCCACTTTACAATTTTCTGGTGTGTATTATCCTACTAGTCCATTGGTAATACATACAATTATAAAAATTTCATATTTATTTAGAAAAAACAAAACCAATGAAATTTTAGGAGGACTAATAAAGGTAATGGAATTTTTTTTTTTTAAATATTGGAAACCCTTTCCTTTTCTTTATTGTTTAGGTGCTATATTTGATCCTAGAATTAAAGTAGCAGGTTTAAAAAATGGTTTAGACACATTAACTGAAAATTTACAAAACGAAGCATATGCCAATCAACTAGGAGAGGTAAAAGAGTGTCTTGCAGAGGTATATTTGCAATATGAAAACAGGTGTGGGAACCAACAAAGAGTCGAAATACCCAGGAAAGTTACATCAGAAAAAACAAATGAAGACTTCGACTCCTAGAGTGCACTTAATAGGCCGAAGAGTAATGAGCTTCAATAATATTTGGGAACCCCTGAAGTGTTACCAGCGATCCACAACAAAAAGCCAAGTTTGACGTCTTAGAATATTGGAAAACCAGAAAATGTATTTTTCCGGTATTATCAAGACTTGGCTTGGATGTTTTCTCTATTCTTGTCTCAACCGTCTCATTTGAACAAACATTTAGTGCAAGTGGAAGAATTTTAAATGAAAGGATGACTACACTTTCACGAAAAATGATTAAAGTCCTCACATGTCTTCGAGATTGGGAACGGTCGCGCCATCATGATTAATATGAGGTTGTCGACGATACTTTAATAGAATCATTTCAATTTTGTAATATAGATGATACGGATGAGGGAGATCCTAGTCAACCCCCAAATTAGTTGTTTTGTAAATTGTAACTGGTAAATTAATTGTCAATTATTGCACTCTTTTTTCCTTACCGAGTTTTTGTCCCATTGCGTTTTTCTTGGTAAGGTTTTTAACGAGGCAATAATTGTTGTAATTTCTTATTTTATTTTTTGATAAATGAATAAATTTAATTTTTCTTATATTACAATTTTATTGTATTAAAATTGAATTTATATTTGAAATGTTAACAAAAAAAAAAATTAATTTAATTGAATTATTGATATTTGAAAAGTTAACTAAAAACAATTACACAAAAGAAAAAATCAAAAAAAAAGAAAAATTGTGGGCTAACCCGGCCCGGCCCGCATCATAACCCACCGGGTTAAGGTTGGCGGGTTGGGTTGGGCCAACCTTTCTGGCCAAGAGGCGAACACAATGGCGGGCTGGGTTAGGCTCAACCCCCATAACCCGCCGCGGGTCGAGCCGGGTCACGCTGGGCGGGTCATTTTTCCACCATTATCTAAGAGATCTGGCCCCATGATCTGAGAGCACTGATAC